TTTTCGCCGTTTTCGCGCTCTTCGGTGTCTGTTTTCGGATTCAGCACAGCGAAGAGGGCGGGATAAGCACAAAATCTCGAAATCAAGATTTTGCTCGGACACTGCCTTCAACTTCGAAGACAACGTACGGAAACCAAAAGCGGCTCTTCTAACAGCGAAGTCGAAATGTGATGGCTCTGTGCAATGTGCGTTCCAATAACTTTCGCAATCCTTTTCGGCATCCTTTTTCACGCAAACTGCTAGCCAGCAGACCTATTAATGGCAATGATAATTCGAAGCTGACAACACAGAGCGCATGAGATGATAGCGTACCGTGCAAAAAAGGCAAGAAGAGTCGATCCCGAGTGGAGTCAGTGGAGGCATCAAACTCGGAAATTCGTAAGCTTCAGGTTTCAGCAGTACCTTAAACAAAAATTTTATTTGCTTCAAAATCAGCGATTCAAAAAAGCCTGGTACAAATACACGTTGAAATGATTGTTATTATAGATACCTGCATATCCTTCGGGAACCAATCGATATGAACTTTTCGGCTTTGCTCATTTCCAAAAGCAAATTTCGGATTTTTAAGCAGCTCAAGAACCCTTGCCATCCGCGAATCTCGTGGAAATTGAGAGACCCGAAACATTTCCACGGGATTGGATATGGTCTAAATCAACAGGTAAACAAGTGAGCTTAGGGAATAAACAATCAGCTTACCAGATATTGCATGATATGATTTTCGCTAGTAAAATGTCGCTCGATTGATTCAACTTCACAGCAACAGAGCTGGCAGAAGCTATGCTTGTCTACAACTATTGAAATCAGTCACTTTCCATTTCAACTAAACTTACACTCACTAAAGGAAACGAGGAATTTTATGCCGCACACTGGTCCATAGCTGATCCCATTTTCGGTTTTCCACTCAATAGGCAAGCTCGATTTGGCTTCAGGGACGTCGACATCCAAAACGTACTCAACATCGACTGCAATAGCGTTCTTGATGGTTGTCAGAACAAAGTGAATTACAGTCGCAACAGTGGGAAACCCATCCAATACCAGTACGAAAAGGTAATTCCGGGTTCTTATATAATCTCAGTACCCAGAAATGATAATTTCTCAAACTCACATTGCTCTAGAAATTGTTCTATAACTGCCGGATGTCGATGAGAAGGAGAAAGTTCATGGGTATTCCAGATCCTCTTCAAAAGTTCGTTGTTCACTGCGACCAGCTGATGGCAAGTCTAAAAACACATGAATGAAACGTACATAATTTCAACAAACCCTTACCATGCACTGCAAAATTTTACGTGGGTGAGCCTCGTCCAAACAATCTGTGTGCAATCTATACGACGGCTTCAAACGCTCAGAATCTATGGCAAGTTTTGCCATAGCTTCTTTTTCAACTATGCCAGCATCCATAACCAGACACTCAGGAGGTAGAAGTTCTCCTCCTAAAAAAGGAAGATATTAGGATTTAAAGAAAAAAATTAGAAACAAACACATGGAACGTTCAACAATGTCCTCTAGATTTCAGATGTTTTAATTAAGTACGAAAATCTAAAAATTCATAATGCTCGCATTACTCCAGCGGAAACTTTCGTCATGCTGCAAAAAATCACAACTGGTATTAATGTTTGCGAAAAGGCACTAAGTTATATGGTAAGGTGAGATTAGTTTCAAAAATCTAAACTTTCTTGAAGGCAGCGACTCAGCAGAATGACAAATGTGGGATATTCATTGTTCTCGGTGTTCCCCGGGATGTGTTAAGTTCAAGACTGCAGTTTCAAAGGATGTCAATAACCCGCTTCCCCAGACGTAAAAAGGCTATTGGGGCGGACCGCGTATGCTTGCCTTCTGAAGCGCGATTGGCTCGTGGGTGCGGTGAGTTACGGTATCTCCACTCACGCGCCAATCACGCCCTAGACGGCAGACATACGCGGTCCGCCCCAACAGCGCATTCACGTGTGGAAAAAAGGGGTTATTGACATCTTTTGAAGCTGCAGAGCAGTCTTGGACTTAGCTTATCCAAGGAGACTGAGACGATGAATATCCCAAATCTGTCATTCTGCCGAGTCGCTGCCTTTAA